GCAGAGAGATTAGTCACAAGAATGGCAGCGGATATATTGGTGGGGGGTGGGGGGTGGAGAGGGAGTCGGCAGGAACTAGTATCCAGATATACAAGATATAACTACATCCTGCTTGGCTGCAGCTATGTCACATGCTGTCCAGAATCACTTCCCTCTGAGGGGAACAACAAAGGTCACCAGGTGGTAGTTAAGTATCAGGGGGTAGCCGTGTTAGTCTGTATCTACAAAAACAACAAGGAGTCTGGTGGCACCTTAAAGACTAACAGATATATTTGGGCATAAGCTTTCATGAGTAAAAACCTCACTTCTTCGGATGCATCTTCACTCCGAAGAAGTGAGGTTTTTACTTATGAAAGCTTATGCCCAAATATATCAGGTGGTAGTTGCTTTCCTATAGCTCACTTCCTGGGTAGGAACTTCAGAGGATATCATTAATGACCAGAATTTTAATTCGTGTGGTTCCTCTATAAGTAGGGCCTACCAAATTCATGGTCCATTTTGGTCAAAGTCATAGGATTTTAAAAATCGTAAATTTCATTATTTCAGCTATTTAAATTTGAAATTTCACAGTGTTGCAATTGTAGAGGTCCTGACCCAAAAAGGAGTTGTAGGGGAAGGGAGGTCGCAACGTTATTATGTGTGTGTGTGTGTGTGGGGGGGGGTTGTGGTACTGCTACCCTTACTTCTGTGCTGTTGCGGGCGGCGGCGCTGCCTTCAGAACTGGGCGCCTGGCCAACAGCTGCTGCTTCCCGGCCACCCAGCTCTGAAGGCAACACAGAAGTAATGGTAGCAATACTGTGACCCCCCCCCCAAATAACCTTGTGACCCCCCCTGCAACGCCCTTTTGGGTCAGGACCCCCAATTTGAGAAACACTGGTCTCCTCCCGTGAAATCTGTATAGTATAGGGTAAAAAGCATATAAAAGACCAGATTTCACAGGGGGAGACCAGATTTCATGGTCTGTGATGCATTTTTTATGGCTGTGAATTTGGTAGGGCCCTCTCTATAAGGAACTTGGGGTCAGGTGAATAAGAACTAAGACACTTAGGCGCTTAAAAAATCCTAGCCCTCTTCTTTCAAGCTTCTGCATGGCTGGAAAGTCAGAGTTCCACCAGATGTAATAAGAGACCTGGGTTGAAGAAGCAAGACCACTAGAAAGACAGTTCATGTACATTCTCAACATGGAAGAGAAGATCTGAGATTTGCCTCGGGTGCCCCTGGGAATCTCATTGGAAGAACAGTCTGGCATGATTAGTTTTCTTGCCCAAAGGAGTTACCACTGGGGCAGAAGGGATTTCTTTTCCTACTATCTGAAGAGAGCAAACTTCTGTTACAATTAGCTAGTCTTGAGAAAGGTTTATCAGACAGAGAAGCCAACTGGGAACATCAGCAAACATGTTACAATTCCACAACACATTTCGGAGCCCAACGGGCCATTTGATGCCTGGGTTACATCCTTGGAAGTGGGATGGTACAAACCCATGTGAGGAAGGTTAGGGTGACAAAAGACGCTCTTCAAACCTGGACAAAAACAGCAAATATAGTCACTTTGGGGTTGTACTCATGGATTGACTACTACGTGACTCATCCCACATCTTGCCATTTGGCAGTGCCTCTATTGGCTTTACGCACAATAACAAAATCATCAGGAGCACTGAGAACAGTCCTGTCCTTGCAGTTGTGAAGAGTTCCTGGTGCTAAGGAGGTTGGATATGGAGGGTTCAAACTACATTCTCCATGAGCAAGCTGGGAGGTGTTGCTCTTTTCTCTCTGGCAGTGAAGGCCTAAACCTACATAGTAGGGGGAGGTTCTTCCCTTTGGGGTTTTCTGTCAGTCTTTATACAAATGCTCAGTAGCATTCTTTGACCATGGGACGAGGGTGTGGATGGAATAACCTGAAGGCTCAGCAACATGTCCGAGGACTTGATAACCCCAATAGGTTACCCCGGAAATCAAGAAGTTGCTTCCTTTCTTTAGCATACTAGAGGGGGTCATGTGGGTATTTTTATGTGGGTGGGCGAGCTTGATAGAAGACACCTATGGAAAGGTTTGTTAATCCTCCCTAGATGAGAAGACCAAATTAGGAAAATAAGGTGGGTTTTGTAAATTTGGGCCTGGTCTACACTTAAAAATTAGATTGACCTAGCTATGTGGCTCAGGGCTTGCGCTGTAGTTAGGTCAACCTAACCCCCAGTGTAGATGTGACTAGGTCGATGGAAGAATTCTTCTTTTGACCTAGCTACTGCCTCTCAGAGAGGCTGATTAACTACACTGACAGAGAAACCCGTTACATCAGTGTCAGAAGCATCTAGACTACTGCACTACACTGGCACAACTGTAGCGGCGTAGCTGTAGTACTGTAGCATAGACATACCTTTGGTAGTTAGCATGTTAACATGTTTTTAAATGTCCCTTAGCACCCAGTGTAGGCACACAGTGGGGTTCAAAAACATATTAGCTGATCATGGTCATAAGCACATTATAAACAAATGTGTAGGTAACAAGAAATAATAAAGTTCACACTTGTGAAATTTTGTTTTACACTTTTAAACAGCAGCTTCCTAAACTCTCCTCTATTATTCACTGTGGACAAATTTGCCTAATTATTTTTGGTTTTAGTAATGGGAATCTGGGGGTGCTTGGCAGGATGTTTGAGCAACAAAGGAACGGTGCATCAGGTACGAGTTATCTATCAAATTATATGGAAGTCCTGAAAATTAATATCCACGTGAATGTATATTGTGTGTGTTGTTTTATTTATATGTGTGTGTATACATATATATATAATAAATTAAAGGCAAATACTTTTTCAATCATATGCGGACTTCCCACTGACTAGACTCTCCAGCCAGCTACATAGCCATCTTTTAATGCAAAAGCTTTTGGAGGTAGTTTATCCTAAGCTGTAAACATGACCAATTTTTCTCCAGTGATTTATATTTTGTTCATTGTGCATGTTCAGATTGGAGCGAACGCTTCTGCAGGACGCCAGTCTCCTTTTTCTCGCCATCCCTGAAGCTTGCCCTCCTTCTCCCATCCCCGCCAACCTGATTGCCCAGGAAGAAGGCTCTTACCATCATTAGAAATTTAGATTTTTCATTTTGATTAGTACTTATTGTGATGCTTCAAACCCACCACCAATTTAATTTCAGCTCTCCGAGGCCAACATGGAAGTTTCCAGTTAGGCCTCTAAGCCCATGTCTGGGCATCTAGATGAAAGTGGCCTGATTTTCAGAGGTGTTGAGTGACTGCGGTGCCCTTTGAATTCAAGGGGGGAAATTCAGGCCACTTTTGTTTAGTTGCTTAAATATGGATTTGGGAGCCTAAAGTTAGAAAGCTTTAACATTATGGTCGTAATAATAGGAATAAAAATATGAGAAAATAGGTCCCTAGAAAAAGATTAGGCTTTGCTCTTCAGTTAATCAATTGATCCACTCACTGGGTCCAATAATAACCGGGATGTCTACATCTCTCTGAGCCAGACTTTTCCCCTCCCGCTGCCCCAGAGGGCAAGGGCAGTACATAGTGACACCAGGCAAAAGCAGGATAATTTTGTTGCTTTTTAAAATTACAAAAATCTATTTCTGTTTCTCCCATTTTCCTTCTCGTGCCCCGAGGCACCATTGTACAAGCTTTGAACAGACAAGCCCACTATTACAACGTTGTCAAGGCCCTGCTAGTTTTCTAGTTCAAATCCTTGTTCATGCTGTTTGCTAAGTACTTGTTCACGGTGACAGCTTTCAGCCAAACAGAACACACTGAATGCTTCATTCCATACAGCTCTGTCCTGCTGGGCTTCAAGTGAAACAAGCCCTTCAAACTCCATCATGTGAACTTTTCACAAGGAACAATCTCCTTTAGACAATTCCATTCAGAGATACTATCCGTGAAACTGGGACTTGGGTATGAGGTGACATCAGAGCCTTCCTCCTCTGGCCAGGGTCATGGCCACCAAAGTTGTATTTGTCAGGAAGCCCCCACATGGCATGGGGCATGATTTCCTTAATTACCTAAAGTTTCTCCATTAAAAAAAAAAATCTTTAAAGTGTATTTGAATATGCATTCTTTAGAAAGGCAAAGCAAATGCTTCTGTGAGGACAGCCAAAGGTTGGGTTGGAAAAACAGAATTGTTTAGTGAGAACATAATTCGCAGGCAACTTAAAGTCACACGTGCCAAAACTGGTAGACCGAAAGTGAGAGATATCCGCTGCCCTTTGGTTTGCGAGTGTGTACACAATGTGCCGTCCCCCTTTGCTCTCTTCTCAGGAGCAGCCAAGGTATTGACATGTACACAAGTCTTGCTCTCCGAAGTGCCCAGACAAAGGGACGTGTGTATATTTCTCTACCAAGAACCACCTGATAGGCAGAGTGGTGTGCAGCAAGCACACAGCACGGGAACACACCCCTATGTTGTGTGAACCACTGTCACACAAACTCAACCTCCTGGTTCTCTTCTCATCACCTTGTCCAGAAGGAAAGTTAGAAATGTATCACTGCTGAACCTTTTTCCAGGAGCTGGAGGTCAAATAGATGGGATTTGGGATACAAGCTTTCCATCATCCCCTTTCTCCACCCTTCACACAACCCCCACCAAACTACCCTCCCCCAGTACAACCAATTACTCCGTCAAACATCCACAACTGCTAGCGCTGGGAGCGGGGGAAGTAAGTCAGTAGAGAGTTGTGTGCAGAAGGATGTAAGGGGGAAGAGTTAAAGTTGTAGTGTGTGGTGTATGGTAGCTATGGTGACCGTAAAGTGTGTGCCTGTGGATGAAGGAGTAGAAGGTTAGTGTGGTTAGGTGGCTTAACTTTTTATTCCTTGCTTTTTGAGAGTTTGTATCAGATATGATGTGTGTGTGTGTGTGTGTGTGTGTGTGTGTGTGTGTGTGTGTGTAGAGAGAGAGAGAATAATAACTGCTTCACAATAAAGCTTTTTTGTGCATAAATATATATGGGTGGGTATGCTTGTCCTTTTAGCACACTGTCACTTCTTATACCATTCACTGTGCATTCATTTTTGCTTGAAACCACTCTCAGTACCAAATTCTGACCTGTTACACCTGTGTAACCCCACTGAAGACCAAGAGGTTGTATGGCTGTAACTGAGGGCAGAATTTGACCTGTTGCTGGGAAAGAGGACTGTAATCCATGACTTTCAGAAGTAGGCCTCTAATTTTGGGTGTGTAATGGCAGCAGCTGCCATTGACTTCATTTGGAGTTGCAAGTGTGCAGCATCTCTGAAAATCGGGCCCTGGGTGTCTGAAATTGGGCCTCCAAAATTAGAGGCCACTTTTGAAAATGTGGGCTTACAAAAGTGAAAGCCGTGAATAGTGTGAGATGTGCTGGAGCACACCAAGCATTCTCATGTCATGTCTGCTCTTGGATCTGGTGTAACTTGCATCTTTGTTTTTCTCCACAGCCTTCCTGCTCCTGTTCACTTCTACCAAAGATCTGGAAAAGAACTAATTGTTGTCACCTACCTTGGGAGGCTTGTTTGCTACAGAGAGACTGAAGTTGCAGATGAAACTAACGTCCACATTGCTATCCAACTCCACACCACAATGCAGAATGTTGATAGCTTTGAGCAGTCTGACCCTAAATGAAGAAACATGGGGAGGTAAATTGCAGATAAAAGATGACAGTGGGATTCTAGTTAAAATTAAGTAATCACTTCTATGTGCTGCATGTATGCCATGGGAATGATGTGAGGGATCGCTGGTAGTCCTATGAATATATATTCTGCTTTCTTGCCTCTCTTCTGTGAGAAAGAATTAGATAACTCGTGAATAAGTAAAGCATTACATACTGAGATTTTCTATAGTATGTTTTATGATGAGATCCAAAAGTCCATCAGTTGTTAAAGTACTGTTCTACTGCACGGAATGTAGAGAACTTACACCCAAAAATGTACCCAACAAATGAGGAGGTATGAGCATAGGGTGGGTGGTCCATTGTTAAACCAAACGATTGTGAGAAAACACAAGAACATGAACAGTATCCTTTTTAGGACTTCTCCACCATCCCCAGAAAACAACATAGGATAACACGTTTTCAACCAGTGGTAAAGAAGTAGGAAGAAATTTCTCCAGGGACATAATTTGTAGTCCTCCAAGCACTTCTAAAACTCAGACCCTAGGTGTCTTAAATGGAGCATCTAAAAATGGGCTTTTGAAAATGTCGTCCTAAACGCTTTGTTCCCATGTCCATGGCTGGGGGTAATAAAACATTTTTTTAAAGGTCTAGTTCGTACATGGCATGAAATTCAAAGTAGTTTCTTCAAATAAAAGCAAATATAGAAAATAACAATCATAAATACCTAACTCTTATATCGCACTTTTCATCAGTTGATCTCACAGCGCTTTAGATAGAGAAATAATTGTATTTATAAAATGCCTTCTTCTGTTGAAGCTCTGGCACACACTGTATATCACAAGAAACCAATTTAAAAATGTATTACAAAGACTGGGAGGTGAGTCCATGCCAATGATTGGATAGTCAGGATCCGGGGATTCCTGGCTCCCAGCTCCATGCTCAGTCCTCTAGACTTACTTTACAGATAGATTTATCCCACCTAACAATGCTTTTCCCCTGCCATTCATTTGGTATAAAGCGGAAGTAGGTAATTATCATAGTTCAAAACTTTCAGATGATCTCAATATAGAATAAAAGCACATATGAAATGTACATACTGTACATGACACGGCTACATGCATCTAGGTATAATTTTGGCCAGTCCAAAACTTGAATCTGACTAATTCTGTTGCCGACCTAGAGTTACAAGGGATAAGGAAGGACTAAAATTCATTTTTGTAGTACTTTAAATGTGTTTTTCATTTATTTCTCCCACACACTAGAATCCCCTTAAAATCAATCCCCTCTACATCATCTGTGTCTTGGGGGCCAGGGAGCCCTCCCACAAACCGCTCCATGGCATTCAGGGGTGTAAACCCCCTTCCCCATACATGGCCCCCAAATCCCATTCTCTCCCAGGAGAGTTTGTCCCTTTATACATCATTACATCTGAACAGGGTGAGCGTAAAACTTCTTTGGAGAAATCTGTTTCACCCACATGGGACTGAAGAAACGTGAGTGATTTTCTCCTAATTTACTCAGATGGGAGAATGTCAGTTCCTATCCGTGAAACCACCAAGCAACTTCCCCTGTCACAACTTTAGCTACTGCTGCTGTGATTAAAGGGGGTACATGTTATCTGCCCGGCAAAGGAAAGGAATCTGACACTAATGCTAGGATTACACCTACCACAGAGTTTTGCAATCTCTCTGAGCAAGGTGCCCTGTTCGGTAGCATCTTTAAGAGGGAGACTTACCAAGCATGAACCTCCCAACAGATTGAGATTTGAGGATTTTGAGCTAGAAGGGGCCATTAAAAAATAAATAATGTTGTCTGACCTCCTATGTAACACAGGCTGTAGGATTTCATCCAGGGACTCCTGTAGTGAGCCCAATAACTTGCTTATCTTCCAGTAAGGCTTCCAGTCTCCATCTGAAGATGAAATAGATGGGAAGAGTTGAATTCCTCCCTCACCCCAGCCCTAAGACTCAGTTCCAGAGTCCTAGATGCTCTTGACTTCCCCCTTCTGAGGATCCTATGGCACAGAGAGGACTCCTCGGTGGAAAACCGGTAGGGCAATAAAGAGCCGAGGTGACTTCATTGAGGGTCCCCATCCTCCTTCCCAGCACTTAAAGTGAGCTGAATTATAAAGCTGGACCAGGCAGTGGAACCTCAAGGTGGAGTTAATCACGCAGCTTCAGCAGGCCCAGATCTGCAGAGAGCCCCACCCTCGACTACCCTACTGTTCAGTGACCCGACCTGAGTGTGAGTGGGGTTTGTGGTGGGGGGGACTGATGGAAAGAGACCCTTGTTTTGCATATAGACTCAGAGTACGTGCAAGGGGCTGGGGTAGGGGGAGTTCTGCCTGCAACCAGAGGAGAATTTATTTATTTTCCCCAGAATTCTGGGTGAGGGCTTAAGCCAGTTTTGTTGTTCTTCAAGAGAGACCCTGAATATATTGAACCTGGCCCTTCTTGCTGCCATTAACAAACTGGCATAAGGGTTCCACCTCGTTAGTGCAATGAGGCTGATTTAGCCCAGAAGTCCTGGGAAATGCAAGATGTTGCAGGCTCATGACAACAAAACCAGGTGATACCTAGGGAACTGAATGTTCAGGTTTGGGGTTCACTCAAACCCAGAGGGGGCAAAGTAACAAAGGCAAATGTTCACTTCAGCCCAGTGAATTGCTGAGTTACTCAGTCATTTCCATGCTGCAGATAATGGATTTACAAATCGGGTTTTCCAAGGTGGTAATCCAGGGTCACGTGGACACTTGGAAGATCTGTTCAGTATTCAGAACTCCTTTTAAAGCCTGCCCTCGGTACGTTACTCTAAGCGAGAGATGTCCAGCTGGAATCTGCGGTGCACTGCTCTATTGGTGTAAAACTTACTTGTCATTTTTAAGTTCACACGGGCACATATTGCTGATGATTTGGGATTTTGGAACTAAATGGCACCATTCTGTGGAAGTGCCTTTGAGGAGGGGGATAGTGGAATTCACAATGAACCATGCCCTCAGTGGGAAAGTCCCCTTGGGAAGAAGTGGAGGACACAAAGGTGTAGCCTCTCAGTCCCAGGATCATGTAAGTGTGGGGAGAAGGAAACTCTGAATCTTATATAGTGTGGCTTCCCCTCCTGAGAGAGCCCTGCGGCCTTGGTCTACCTCTCTACACTTGCAGAAAGCACTCCGCTGATTCAACAGAAGTATCCACTGCCCAGGAAGGGACGATGGTTACTGACAACCAGTCTCTGTCCAGTTAGGGGCTCCTCCACTCACAGAAGCTAAAGGGACATTTGGGACCGTTTAGCTGATTTTTAAACATGATTTTGGCAGCTACGTTCAGATACTCGAATACTAAACTCAGCTACGAGTCACACTGGGTGCACCAGCTGGCGTTCCAGCCTGGGTCACCAGCAGTAAAACAAAAGGATTCTCTCCCCCATGCAGAAGTAACCCAGAATTTATTTCTGCAAAGCAGCAGGTCTTTATTTCTATTCCACATGCGGCCAATGAGTCTCATTCGCCACGACCGCTAAACATATGTGCCAGCTTCTTAAACTTCTTGAAATGTTCCAGTGTTTCAAAACTGGAGCAAGTTAGTAAGGGCTTGTCTATTGGAGGTACGCTGGAATAGCTATTCCACCTTAAATTCACAGCCTCCTTTAATCTGGAATAACTCTGAAGTGTAAACAAGCCCTAAGGCATGAAGAAATGTTGGGGCTGATTTTTAAAGATGCTGAGCTACATGTAGATGCCATTGGTTGCAACTTGAAATGTGACTCCTCGGTACCTCTGACAATCAACCCCCCTTATTGTATTGGAAGAAGGGAGGCCACTGTCATCTGATCATATTCAGGTACATCTCTTCTCTCAGCTGAATATGTGCTTGCTAGCGGCTCCTGCTGCAGTCACTGGGAGCTGAGTGGCCCATTTTGCCAACAGAAGGTAAAGAATCTTTAACCTCTGTCTGCTAGAAAAGGCAATTAACGAACTCCATTGACATCTAAAACTTCCCAGACTGTTTGTAAAACTATTTATTATATATGTCCTGCTAAAGCATATTCACCTAAAACAGATTTAATATTGAAAGCACTGTTTTATTTTACTCTAGTTCTCCCCAAAAAGTGTATCAGAGAACACGCGTTATCTAAACATTAATTCACTTTTAGTAGACTGTGATTAACTGCTAATTTCAGAGCCAATTGGGCATGGAAGGTAATCATATAATTTAGACTGCTTAACCTATGAATCTACATTCTGGACTTTATAACCAATACTTAGCTTCCATTCACTCTGTGGTCTTTAAATCCGCAAAATTCCTTTCTATTTATTTATATATAATTTTGAAAGGACATACTTTTATCTTTTTTTGACTGGTATAACTCCAGACAGGAGAACTGAGCATAAAGAAGTAGTAACTTAATGTATTTCTTTAGGCTGTTTACAAGAACAGAAGTTACATGCTTAGCTATTTTTTCCCCTCCCAAGTACATTTCACAGATTTCAAGTGTGAACAATAATAAATGCAATAAAAGTTCTATTGGTTCAACTTTTTTTTCACGTTCATTTCTCCGTATTTTGTCATCACTCTCAAAATGAGAAATGCACATTTTTAAGTGCGTTGCAGGGGGGAGGGGAGATTGTGCTTTTTTCTATGCAATCCTTGCTTTTTTACGATTCATTAAACCTTTTATTTCCCCCCCAAGCCCCCGTGTGTAATTGGACCCCTCTCATTTACATGCATGAGGGATGCATAATTCTGAGAGAGGCACAATCTGCCAAAAAAAAAAAAGAGGAACCAGCGCTTGGGCCGAGCTACAAGATATTCATATAGCCAAGGAAAACTGCAAGAACAAGCTCGTAACCTTGCAGTTCCAGACTAGCATCAACTTATTGCAGCACTAACAAGATCTGTTCTGTGGCCATTCGTAATAATTGTTCTGGGCTCTAGATAGAAAAAACTCACCCTAGAGGTACAAGCAGTTCCCATTTTTCAATTTCGTTTCTCTTATCATAAAAACTGGCACTGGCTTGACTTACAGTGG